CTTAGGCAAACAAAAGTTTTATTTTGTTTTTCCTTCTTCTGTTCGATATTAAAGGTACGTAGATCATTTCACGACACAGGAAATGTTATGTCTATAAAAGTCACGACAAGGTTGAAAAAAACGGCGGGAATCATAATGTGTTTGTGAAAAAGGACTGTTTTGTTTTCCTGTTGCATTCCTTTGCATTTTCTCTTTTATTCTGATCAGAATTTGCGGCAATCACAATTTTTTCTGATGAGCGCTTCTACTATATATCAACAAAACTCAACTTTTCAAGGTTTCTACAGACTTACTTCTTACCTTTTGGAAACAGAGAACGTGAGAAATTACTTGTGCTTTCGTCGCGATTAGAACCACGGATTTTCAAACTGGTAGGTAGACGGTGTAACCACTTACTCTAAGAACGCACATAAAGGGGAAATGCGATTATTCCTTATAATATGAAAAACGGAAAAGACCGCAAAAGTTCGGTTTTCCTAATCTCAAATATTTTTCAAGGCTCGTAGGATTACATGATTCGAATAACTGCTAGTATTTCGGCTACACGAAAAAGCCGGATTGGGACATTGAAAAAGCTTTGGATCTAATGGATCTCGAAAAGATTGGACACTCAAAAAATGCTTGGAATCCAATGAATCTCAAAACGGTTGTGCCAGATATTTTTTATTATCGCAGCATTCACTAAAAAAAGGGGGAATCGCGTTTGTTGCAATTTTAATTGACCTTGATAACCCCTCGTACACTAACCCTGAGTGAAACTTTTTTTTTTTTTTTGGATAAACTTCAACATTCTGCGTTTAGTATTTATCCACACTAATTCCAGAAGTAATTCTATCTCCTCTACAGATGCTTTGATTAAAACGGATTCTGATAAAATATCAAACATTGGAATTGTTATTCAAAGAAGCTATATCAGGGTTATTGAAAAATTTTGCTTCAATATTCAGGAATTTTAGTCATGCACAATAAACTCTATTTCAACTTTTTTAATAAATATAGGTGTATTTTATAAAATTGAATCTTAAATATGATTTATGTTGAACACTTCGAAATTGTTCGGTAAGTCTTTTGCTTCGTTCTTCGAGTTATTCTTAAATGAAGTATTACAGAACCTTTTAGGATTCAAAGTCAGGAAAATTTACGATTCGTATTCACATTTGAGAAAACTTACGATTCGTTCCACCTTTAGAAAAAAAGAGAACTCCGGCTTTTGTTAATTCACGGATTATCCGGATATTTATTGCCCTTTTATCCCAAATGAGCAGTAGCAAATAAGTGCTATTAAGTTTTGAAACAGCATTTCGTGTTGAAGCACTAAAAGCGTTGCATCATTTCTCAAATTGTTGCCATCGAATATTATCGCCCTGTATTATACTTAATTAAATAATGAAGAATCTGCATGAATGTATATATATTTCTCGCATTATGAAAAAGTAACACTATCTAGAGCTATTAAATTTTGAATAAAGTAGTCCTCCACTCGAAACTGAACATCTGGAAGCCCGAATTTGAAATTTGTTTTATTGTCTACTTCATATTTTGTAAAACTTTAACGAATTTTTGATTAACAAACTCAACGATTTCAAAGCAAGCAATGGCAACACACTATGGAAAAAAAAAATATTTTTATCTCCAGGGCACGAGACGGCCTATCCGAAATTCTTCAGGTATGCCGTTTTTAAATATTTTTATCCCAAAGGGAGCTTAGCCTAAATGCTCCCGAAACATGCATGTGTATGTAAATGAAAAAAATACCCTTTGGGCGTAGTATCAAATTTGAAAGCTTTCAGATAATATATCTCCCTATATATACATATATGTATATATTATTTTTTTAAGATAATGATGCAATGCCATAAACGAGAACAATTTAACCTGCAGTTTAAACTGGTTTATTCAACGATTTATTTAAAGCACACGGAAGGGATACACTGTGTGCGTGAAATACCTTCGATCTTCGACCTCACAGCAGCTGTTTTAATGTTTTCCACAAACGGAAAACAACGGAAAACGGGCAGTGCAAGCTGAACACACTAACTGATCTTAATCACTCCATGACCTCGTTTTACGTTTGAAAGCCCCGCCTTGTTAAGAAACGTGCAGCTAGCTACCTTTTGAGTACATCAATTTAAGAATAGCTGACTGTACACGAGGAAGCTGACTGTAGCGGTTTTATGAGCATGAATATTAATGTATGAATATTAATCTCTTACGAAAATTTATATTTAGATGCTGAAATAATAGAAAATGAGAAACAGGAGGAAAATATTTTGAATTTCAAAACGAAAGTTAAACGTGAAATAAAGATTTTTGTACATCAAAATACTTTTGAAAGCCTCATCAATTATTATTGATTTTGTAATTCAAAGTATTTCAATTTATGTAAATGATTCATTCACGCTAATAACGAAGTTACATTTTTTAAGGTCATTATTAGCAGGAAAAGTACTAGTTTCGGTTCAGGAACTTGATATATCTGACGTAAATTAGGATGCAGCTATTAAGATTATTATTAATGAATAACAATTCATTATGAATCATAATCGGCAGGGTAATGATTTAATGAATAAAATGAAGATATATTGATGAGCTTTGAATGAAATCGGTAGATATTCTCTTCTCTCCTTTTATACCAAAGCACTTTCCATCTTTACTTCAACAAAGATCGCAAAATTTTACAACCTAACATTATTGAGAACTTAAATTCATCATATGTCTGAAATGTTTTAAACTTTTATTTTCCATACTTAGAGAAACTACGAACAAATGACTTAAAAAAATTCTTAAAATATAACCTTTAACCTTATAAGGCATTTTTTCCCTCCCTTCCACATGTGGTGCAACTGGAAGTATACTCGACGCGTATTGACACTGCACATTTTTTTCGTCGTCTCATGCTTAAAAAAAAAAAAAAAAAAAAAAAAAAAATTAAAAGGGGGTATATAAGGTATTTTCTCCCTCCTTTCTGCATACTTTCGTGGTGTAATTGGAAGAACACTCGACGCGTATTCGAGACGTATGTCCAGGGTTCGAGACCTGGCGATGGCCCTGCACATTTTTCATGCGTCCTGCTTCAAAATTAGCCTAATGACCGTTCAGCCTTTCATTGTCTACTAAATAATTTAGTTCATTTTATCTGCCAGATAAAGTCACGATACTAATGCATGTGTAACACAGCAAAGCGTCAATTATTCAGAACATTTTTCTATCAAGTAAAACCAAGCTTTTACTAACGTAACAATTTCGATACCAAATGACTCTTATGTATGTGCGTATGTGTTATATACATGTGTATATATAACGCTGCTTGATGAAAGAAATGAAGCATTTTTAATACATTAATGTACCCAAAAGTAACAGGAAAAACCAAAATTCTTATTCTAGTAAGAACAAAAATTTTTGTTGCTAGTACGGTTTCATTTATACTTTAAGTGACAGATGTACAAAAATCGGCCATACTGATAGAAGTTATTCGTCATCATGTGATAGAAATTACAGCTGATCCTTATTCGATGCTGTGTAGGTGTCATATACCGTCTAATGGTAATCATTACACTAAGCATTTGTAATCCTAGCTGCTTTGCTAACTGTGCTGCGACACAGTACGAAGTTATAACAAAACTGAAGCAAAACCTCTCAGTGAAAAATGTAATCATTCTAGCAACAAAAAAATTCATTTAAAAAAACAAACTCGGAATTTCTGCGAAAATCACATGACGTGTCATTATTCTTATTTTTATTGTGAAATTTTTCTTAACGCTTTAACCTAAAATGCACTTGAATAAGGAAGAAATGTCGAATGTTTAACTAAATACCCCTATTGATATTAGGATCAAAATTAAGACATAATTCATCATGAATGAGGAGATTGCAGTCATTTCCAGAGGGAATGAATTTCTTTTAAATTTCAAGGGATATTTTTTGGTTTATATTTTTTTTACCTTTTCACTTTTTTAGCCTTATTCTTTTGGTATTAGATTTTAATTGCATATATATCTTTAATTAATTTACGATATACATAAATGAATTGTAAGCGAACTGTAAATAAGTGAATAACACAAGTGACTACCATGAATGTGACGAGCAAATATTACATAGGAGCTCTGCAAGTATCTCAGCAGCATATGTGATATACATTAATATACCCAGTTGATAATTATTGGGTACTTTTTATGCACCTAAATAACTTTTTATATCCAAGTTTCCACTGACTTTTACAGTAAACATTCTCTGAAAACTCAGAATCACAAAGCATGAAACATTGCCAAAATCCTCATTCAGCACAGTCAAAGTCTTGACAAGGTCTCTTTAATAACCACAGGTCACAAATATCCATCGTCCGAAGTTACTTTATAAATTACGCTACAAATTTTAACATTCTATAGAGATTTTTGGCTGTGGCCTAGCGTTAATGGACCAACTGAGTGCAAATGCTGATAGTCATATAACAGGCGGTACAAAACACAGCTGGTGATAAGTAATTAAGTTACTTCGATATTTTCAATTCTTCAGCAACTTGCCGATTAAAATGCCCGAATTCTCCATGAGCTTCTGTTTAACCATTACTATAACCTGTTCGCTATTCTTTCTTTTTTAACTCTTTTTCCAAAATTTTGATTAGCATCATCTTCTTCATACTGTTTTAATACATAGACTTTGATCTTTGCATACTGCACTGTAAGTACATAAATCACTTTTTTGGTAGTTGGGGGATTATTTTTCTAATATTTAATTGAAAGCCACAATTATAAAACTATACTCTTTTGTTCTAAATAATGTGGTACCATTTTGTAAACCTACCTAGCATTTCACTGTAACTGCTACTGCTCTGAAGAAAATGAATCACTGCTAGAATTCAAACTTGAAACATTGGTATATTTACTTTGTTAATTCCTTCTTCACCAACATAAATTTCTCATTCTTATCTAGAACACTGTTACATTGGGTGTGTTTTCATGTACAGTGAGACAATTTATTAGTATACATTTAATGATACTTACGCGCAGTGAGCAGTCATATCCATCCTATTCATATCATTAATCCTTCTTTGTACATTACGCCTGAGCCCATCCAGGCACTGTCGCATTCTGTCTCTGGAGCATCCTCTTTGAGCTAACAGTCCAGGAAATACTGCAAAAAGAAAAACACATTAATTAATCAAAAAAAGCTTCTTAATATGCCATCGTCTATTCAACAAATTCAAAACATTTAACGCATAAAATATCCTAAATTTTTTTGAATCCGAACATTTTTAAGATTCGCATTCGAAAACATTTATCTAGGAGATAAAATTTTAGACATTAGAATATCGTTTCCCTGAAATCTTTTTTCTCTCGCATTAAAACTTTGGAGTTCTAACCACAAAAACTGTTAAATATTTTAACTGTAAACTGTGCTAAAATTAATTTTCTTTACAACCTTTCGTCATAAAAGCATGCACCTGTTGCAATATTAGTGGACGTGAAAAGAAAGACGTGAAAGACCAATATCACCCAGCGGCGACCCTGAATACCGCACTTTTAATTTCTGGAAGAGAATTTAGCATTCCATATTTAGTGGTTATCTATCTATGCTCGAAATAATCTTCTCCCTTTACACTTGTTTTTACAAGATTGTAAAATGTCAAGCATTTAGACTTGATAGGGAGATCTCCCACCAAGATGGCCTTAGACGGGGTAACAAATACTGAGTGAAGTCCAGCTCCCCTAAAAGTGAAAAACCAGTCTGAGGTTTAATCGGCAGGAATAGTCTATGGTATAACTGGTAAGTCCGGCAGTCTGCGGTATAACCGGTAGGAAAAACAGCCTGCATCCAGTCCAACTACAAACGACGACAACCAGCGTCCTGGTCGTATTTAAAAAGTAAGGCACAAAATTCTCTGCTAATTAAAGCACCGGAAAAACATAGTTGGATTAAGACAGTACACGGTATCTATCCCTTTGTGGAGTTCTCCAGAGGAGAAGGGTTAATTACAAAGAAGCGGGTTTCAGGACCCTTGGCCTTCTAAACACATCTCCGAGAATGTGGACTTCAATCGAAAATATTAGCTTAATCGCGAACGGTTTTAAGTAAAACCAAATATGAAATCTGCGTTTCATGAAAAATAAATTTGAGTCTAATTAAGGTAATTTAAAATTAATTCAAACTCAATGTTTATTTACTGTTCGCCAGTTATCTACAAATTGGCGCTGTGGAGGGGCTCAGTAAATTTAGATAAAATATAAAAATTAACCCGATGTATATTGGTAAGCTATGGGTGAGCTTCCAGGTGAGGCACGATGCAGTAAATTATAAAGAAAAGTATATACTAATGTTAAATCACTGAGGTTGTTAAGCACATTGATTAAATGCGAAGAATAAATTACAGGTTTTATGCTTGCTACCCCAATGTATGCACTCTGACACATGGCTATTAACAGTGTCTTAGAAGAAAGATACAAATCTTATATTTTGCGCTATATAAACATTTGCCAACTCATATGAATAATAAATACGTGGTGATGCAACGTAACTGTAATGATACCATTTCGAAATTTTGGAAAATTTTCAGCTAAATATATTCAAACTGAACGTTAGCACTGCCTATCAACGCCGTTGCTTACTTGTGACTTAAGGGTTCTTAGTCACCGATACCGAGCAATGCAGTTTTTCATGTGCAATCAGAAAATTTCCTGAAGCATAAGAATAACATTTAGTTTAACGTAATATGGCGGTCTAGAAATTTTGGAAAGACTATAATAAGAATGATACTATAAAATCAACATAGATGTACCATCTGGCCCTGAATACATACCCTTCATTGGTAAAAACAGTATTTCACAACGTTCTCTAGAACTACAGATTGTCAGGTAATTGCATGTTACACACATAAAACATTACTTAAAAAAGCTCCTCGTGATAAGCTGTTTCGAATAGGATAGCGTGATTCCGAAATCCCCAACTACTGTTAGTACTCTTAGTTAACACTATTAGTACTCTAGCAATAGAACGCATTTGCGAGTATTGCTCTTCGGAGAGGCACTGATTGGCAATGAAGAGCGGAATAGCAAACACCATGAGCAAGATATAGGACAAAAGCCATTGGGTAAGCTAGAAGACTCATGCAAGAACAGATGTTTATACTGTTAGAAAGAAAACCGCCTAAAGCTTCGCCCTCATAAAAATCTAGTCACCTTTCGGAAAGTTTGAAAAGATACGGAACTTCGTAACAGTCCCCAGGTATAAAGATGTTCTTATGAAGATCAGTTTCTGTCTCGCAAAAATCAACCTGCGTAAAGGTGCTTGCACCTTTATGCCGGGTCCCTGTTATGCAAACAGGATTTTAGTTTTATACTCTGATTAGCAACTGAAATGGAAATTCTACTTGCTTAAAAGTTCTCGGTGTTGTGCGCACATCTTTATGCCAGAGCACCCTTAGGAAAAATTCTGTCTTTCCGAACAATTTCGAACAAACTTTCATTAAAGTGACGTTTCCTTTACTATGAGGAGCCGTAATGAAAGCGTGTAAATCCGCGGAAAAATGTCACATACAACTAAAAGTGAAATCTATCCAGCACTTCAAGCAATGTGGCGAGAAACATAGCCACCGAAGGGATTTTGTGTATTGAAAAACATGATGGTTATTTCCAGCAGCTTCTTTACAAGATTACTCTTATTGTTCACTCTTGTTACTAATAATTCTCCGATTAATACTGCACACTTGAAACAAAATAAATCAGAGAAAAAATAAATGGGTATTTTTTTTATGAAAGTTCATCTGCTTTTGAATTGTTCTGTATTAATCTCAAACGCAAAAATAAAGGGCCATTTCTACAGCTGCAGTGCTGAAATATTTTATGCCCTACTGAACAAATAGATACGATTCACTTATTTCCTACGAATTGCTACCCTTGCGAAATTAAGGTTGTTTTCTCATGTGCTGCATTATTATTGATTTCGCAAACATCCTAATGATATTTAAACTGCGGACAGACTTTATTAACCTACTAAAATCGGGAACGAATAAAAAAATGGCAATTTTTTTAAGAAATCGGAAATGAAAATTATTCCTACAGTAGTTCCTCTGTATCCAATATATACGAAGATTTAACTTCGTTAAATCTTAATACTGTCAATTTCCGATTAATCGAATAGCAAATTAGTCCGGAAATGGCTTAAGAAAATGATAAGTTTGTTTATAGTAAAACGATGGAAAAATTATTGCTACAGATCATCCAGATAAAGTAAAGTTCAGTATTAATACACAAAGGAAGAAACAAATTCGTGGCATAACAGCAGCTATAGTAAATGAAGTCACACTATTCATGAAATGGTTTTATCTATAACAGCAGCTAATTTAATTGCATATAGCCGGGAATATATAACTACTGTAAAATTATCCGTTAAAACAAATTAAAGGAACAGCTGTTCATTTTGTTTCTGTTGACTTCTGTCGAAATATACAAAAAAAATCTGAAGGATTCAGATTTTAACAATCGCCCAAAAGGATCTGTCAAGGTTTTTTACGCTCTCGCTGAGCTCGCAGTCTACTAGTGTGTGGCTGCACTCGCTCTTGCTAACCACCCTTATTTTTTGTCTATTTTACTTTCTTGTACGAAGTAAAAAGGAAGTACTCTAATCGCGAAAAGTTTCAGGCAGCATATTTCAACTAAAATATCCATTTTGACCGCTATCGAATGCAATTTAACGATGTTTTTGAGTGACATCTGTACGTAAGGACAGAATAAAAGACTCTTTTACTCCAAAAAAACTATAAACTGCTGTAAAAGGAATTCTGAAGAGAATTTTTCGTGGTGTCTATACGTACGTATGTATCTCGCATAACTCAAAAACGAGTAGCCTCAGTAAGTTGAAATTTTGTATATAGGACTGCTATAACATGTAGATATGCACCTCGTATTTTGGTTGCAATCGGCCGCACCAAACGTGTATAAATATATTTATATATATATCCACTCTGTTACCCGGCTCAGTGAGCTCAGTCTCTTTATTCTTATATGTTTGTAAGTTGTGCATTTTTTGCTTTAAAAATGATTGAATTATGTTGTTCTTATCTTCCGGCTAAGGTTTTTATGCCTTTACGAAATCTGCAAGCAATATTTGTAGAATTATCAACAATTTAAAAGCTGTTTATGTGCGAGCCTAATTTTTAAATAACATGGCGGACATATTTGTTTACATTTGAAACAGCAGAATAGTAGATTTGTTGCCAATCTAAAGAGATTAAACTTCGCAACAAAAAAGATAACGCCTTCATTTATTATTGCGAATTAAATCATCCTTAATCGTTTCTGGAATTTTTTCGAGGAAATAAGTGTTTAACATTTACTTCGTAATTTTGAATATAGATATTTTGAGTTTTTATGTATTGCCTTGTCGCAAGTGAGAATTGAATTAATTGAATGAGAAATACTGAATCGTCTGTGAAAAAACTGTTTCTTTTTTGTTTTGTTTGCTTAAATCTTTTATACATCGTTCTAGATTTATTATAGTATTTGAATAGAACATGTGGCAACGATTAGATAATTCTTCAAATGTTATAAATTTTATGCATTCTGAGTTATAATATGAACGAAATATAACGCTGTTAAGTGAAACTAGGGCCAGAGTGTCGCTATGGTAAACAAATATAGTGAATTTTAAAGAGTGCATTTATTCTATTGTGGTTTATGCGCTATCGACGAAGTAGATTGAATTCAATCTGATAAGTTTAAATGAAATGCAGCAAAAAATTCGTATAATTTAATATTCCGTACAAGGAAGTCATGTGGTTTACACCAGATCTTTTTATTATTATGCATGATTTTTGTCATACCTACGTAATATACAACTTAACAGCAAAATCACAAAAATTTTAAAAGTTTTGTGATTATTTTATATATTTATAACTCCCGATGCAGTGTTAGTGATGGCACACATTCTTCTATAATTTTTTTTTTCAGTTTTTTTCTCAGTTCATTGTGCCAAATCAATTTTCTTATTAAGATGGCTTGGAAAACTTTTATTTTTGTCTTTTTATTATTAACGTTTCGTTTGCTAACTTTATTTATTAAATATCACGTTCTTTGCGCTTACACACCATAAAATTCAATTAAACAGCTAAATTACAAAATATTTAAAAATAGCACATC